TGTCTACATGAATATACGGCTTCGATCCTTTAAGCTCTTAAAATATATATAAGCATCTCTCTTTAGAGTCAAGATAGTTTTCAATAAGCTTTGGTTAAATATATATGAAGATCTCTCTTTGGAGTCAAGCAAGTTTTGGTTAAATAGAAATGAAGATGACTTTTTGAAGTTTTTACAAGTTTTGAAAGCAAGAAAATTTTCCAAAATCTTTGAGTTGTGGTGCGTTTGCAAAATTAGTCCCAATGCTGGCAGTAGAATTTCTGACTGATGTTTATGATATTTAATACAGAATCAGAAACATTATTGTCAACATTTTTTACATTATATACCATATTTATATGCATCAAGATAATATACAATAGTTTTAGTCACATTTTTGTAAAATACCCATGCGAAGCCTCTATAAAATTTCTTGATTTATTCGCATATTGAATTTTTCTGTTGCTGCGCATTCTGCACTTCTGCTTCCTGCAAGGACATCAAATCGTCGTTGGCCTGCTGAGAGCTGAGAGCTGAGAGCTCCACGCTCCGACAGTTATTTTGTCGCTTTCTTTATTTTTCATTATTTCTGTTGTTTTTTCTTGCCGTGTTTCTTGTTTACCGTTGCATACTTTTGTGCGCTGTGCGCGTAATGAAGATAATTGCTGTTAAGCGCATCTCTAAGCGGATTTCAGAGCCATGCCTCACAGCCGAACACAGTAGAGCAGACAGACCAGCTCCCCTGCTGCACGGTATTTACCTGTCTGCGTTGTCAACGAAACTTTTAGCATTTGACTTTCATTCGCATGCCCCACAAAGACAGAGAAGCAGCAAGGGAGCGAGCATATGTAATGCGTTCTGGTCTGTGGCTTACTTGATTATCTCTTAAGTCATATCAACGCTAAGAAAATGTTGCTGGCATCCATATTTACCGAATATAACATCATATCTGGAAAACAGAAGAATCTTTCATAAGCTAGGCCTCTAGGGGAGCAGCCAGAAATTCCAGCATCAATATAGTCAAGCGATGATGATTTTGATGTACATGAAAAACTTAAAGTTTCATTCGTGATAGACGAATTAAAATGAGGATAAATATATATAAATAGGCTATGTGTCTAGAAAAATGATTTTGCTCTAGGACTTCTAGAAAATACCGAGCGAAGGCATTTAAAATAGTTCTAAATAGATAATAGATAGACAAAAGGGAATGTGAACAAAAGAGCTGAGTTTGAATAGAGCTCAGACCGGTTATTTATAGCTAATATAAGTAATATATGTAAAGCTATTAATTGCAAATAAAACGTAAATTTATTAAAATTATTAAATTATACTATTAAATACAATTATAAAGCCAAAGAGCT